CCCTTCATTCATCTTCACTGTGTTAGTTGGTGGTAAAAATCTCAGAGACCTGATCTGCACGGTTAAATACAACAGAGCTAAGTAAGAAAACCTAAATTGCCAGCAGCTCACAAATGCAACAGCTGGACTGCGGTGAGGCTGAAAATCAATCAGCCGTCCAAACAGCGAGGTTCCACATCTGGTGTAACTCAAAACTAGAGGGGGAGGTGAGGTGATTCAGCAGGTGATGGCAGCAAACTTCACCAAAGAATGAAAGTGAGATGAGAAGAAAGGCTGCAAGGAAGGAGCAAAGGAAAAGAGAAGAAAAATGAAGATGAGTGAAAGGAAAGAAAAAGGGCATGGCTGAAAAGGAAGGGATATGAGCGGAGGAAGGACAGAAGAGAAGAGGAAAGAAAAGATGAGAAATAAAAGCAGGGATAAAGTGACAGTGAGGAGGATGAGGAGCAGAAAAAATGGGAAGAGGAAATATAACTGAAGCCCATAAACAGCTTGGTCTTCATGAAACCTGTGAACATGCTCAACCTGCTTCCCACCAAGCCAGAAGCTCCCCAGTGTAACTGGCAGTCAACACTATGTTAAATTCAATGACACTTTATAACTGTACGGGAATGCATGCATGCATGTATGCATGGGTATGCATATTTTTATGCGTCTGTGTGTGAGACCAAGTATCAGAAAAGCAACTGCTCAGGCTAAAAGGACATATCTGCTTCGGTTCTTAACAGCTGCCCCCTGCAGTTGCCCTTTTCCACACATGAAAGAGCAACAGTCACACTGTGTGTACACGCGTTTGTGTGTGTACAGTGTGTAAGACATGAAAGAGTGAGGCAGCAGCAGGCATCAAGGAAATAGTCAGTGTCTTGTAAATCAGTGCTATACGATGTGTGCCTTGAACAAAACACTTTGCGTGTGTGGGAAAGTGTGATTTATACATGTAGGTTTGTTACCTGCTGTTACTGATTAGATTCATAACACTGGCTCAAACATGATCTATCTATCAATCTATTGATCTATCGTAATCTCTGAGTTTCTGCCTCTAGTTTATTTTTGCTTTACGATGTTAGAAAAGTTCAGGAAACCTTACATGCTTCTCTTGCTTAAACCACAGATGGGAGTCTGTATATAAATACTGGCAAAGTGCTCTGTATGTCCTTCATTTACCCGAACCATATCTCGCCAAGCATGTAGTTCTTAAATGGCACTGTAGTCATTCAGAAAATGCAAACTGCTCAACAAGTATATTTAATTTTCCTAGAAGACAGCATTGGTACCATACAAAGAAGACTTTTGCATCACATAAGTGACAAATCCCAGTAGAGATTTGTCACTAAACCTATTCAAACAGACCTAGGGCACAAACAGACCTTAAAGGACACACAAATGGTAAAAAGTAAATATTAATCACACAGATCATACAATTGTCCCTCAGAGTTTTTAGATTTGCTCTTCTGTGATGTCCCCGTTTTCACGCACTAACACTACTAGCACTGCAGAGCAATCATTTCTTTTTGAAAAGACTTCGGAGTAAAAAGAATTCTGGTTTCACGGGTCAAGTCTCAAATTAGCACTAAGGTGTGTATTGTCACTGTTATCTTTTTTTTCCTCCTTCAAGTTATACAAAGCTCAGTTGTAGTGCTTAGGAGGTTGTGGTCTCCATTACTGGACAGCATCTCCAACACTGACACACCCAAGTTTAGGGGGAAAAAAACCCTTGATATTTAGCACAAAAGGTTTTTGCTCACATTTGTGTTCGTGCCACCTTTTCCTCCACTGGGGATTTCTTAATGAGCCCATCGTGACCATGTCTCCTTTAGCCTTTTATGTAATTCTTATAATTTTCCAGTGTCGTGCTCTTTAACATACAGTTTGTTGTCCCTCTGAGCACTGACGGCATTTCATATGTGACATTTAATTTCCTTAACATAACAATTGGGTGTTGGGTCAGCTTCTACGGCGGCTCGCTTTACAGGGTGATATATTATCTGGTGTGAACCAGGTCAGTGCCTACAATGGCTGAGCAGCAGTCAGCCAACAGAGGAGGAAAATGGCCAAGGAAAGTATAAAACAGATGAGCTTTCAATTAGTACACAGCTTTACATTTGAAGATCCACAGCCTGTTTGTGTGCGTGAGTGAATAAAGTAAGGCTTCCTGTGAGGAAGTTAGTGCTGCTCACCAAACCTCTCCTAGAAATTCCCCTTTTTAGTAAATGTAAACTTTCATTAGGTAGCTCATGCATCCTGAAATATCAAACTGTTTATTTTTTACTTTCTCCAAGTTTCCACGTCTTGTATTTTTCTTTTTTCTAATGTGGCAAAAAATATAAAGCTTTTGTTAGACTGAAGCCACAGAGATACAAACTTGGAAGTTGTGTTGACTTTCTTTAAGGACTAACCTGCGTGAGTTTCAGATACGAAGTCAAATCAAACTAAAACCTCAGGTCTCACATTGTCAGTTAAGACCTGACCCTTGATTACAGCTTTCCAGATTTTAGTTTTTTATTTAAAAGTTAAAATATCTTTTCAATCCATTCAAAATATAAAATTAAAAATAAAAAGCTAACAGAAAAATCACAAAAATTCTTTCATATTTAGCAGGAGTAATAAATAATGGGCAAAAGAACATATGAAAAGAAATGCAAACTACAGTTAAAGAACTTGCACGCTCTTGCTGATCTCACTTCACTTCCTCTGTTTCAAAAACTATCATCACCTTGCTTCTGCTAGCCGCTAGACAAAATAATCCGTAAGGTCCAATCAAAACACGGGGTCGTTTGGTCACGACCTGCGTAGTAAAAGAGAGACAGGGGTTGTATTTTTCCTCCAAACAGAATTCCCACCTCGTTTCTCCGTCTTTCTCCATGTTTCCGCCTCTGCGACTCTTCAATGCCACAGACCCTCTGGCTGATTTGGCGGCTCAGGCCATTAATCACATGGTTTTAACGGTGCTGCTAAGGCAGAGGTGAGCGAGCAGCAGAGCAGGTGACCCTCCCTAACCGCGCTCCCGACCCCCATCAACCCCCAAACACCATGTCTGTGCCCCGATAAATTCACAGCAGGACTTTGACTGAGTCTGTTTTTCATCCTTCCTCTCACTTCCTGCCTGATGTCATCACTATATACTTAATAATGGACAACAAGGAGATCTAATGAGACTGACAGAAGGTGTGTGTTTGTGTGAGTGAGTGTGCAAAACAGAAATAACTAATAATGTAGAGCACTCACATTTATATAGTGCTTTTCTATTTGACATTCATGGCTGATTTAGAATCACCTGGAAATTCACACACATACAGAGAGAAAATGCGAACTCCACACAGGAAAACCCGGGTGGGGTTTGAACTAGGAGCTTTCATGGCAAACCTTCTTGCACCGCATACATGGTTAAATCTCTTTATTAAATCATTTTTTTAATGTTTTTGGAATATATGTAAAAAAAAAGAAAAAACAAGAAGAAGAAATAAACTTCTCAAATTGGACATTTTTGTTATTTTCTTTGTTTTATTTTCAGTGTAATATGAAGTTTAAATGATTGTCTGAATAGGCTACTGCATTTTATTTTTATTGGCAATGTAAACTACCTTGGTTTTATATACAGTGGTCTCTCGCTATAATGCGGTTCACCTTCCGCAGCCTCGCTGTTTCGCAGATTTTTTGGTGCAATTTTGCATGCTTTTTTTTTCCTACAGCGCATTGTGTTCTGTGTCCTGATCGGCTGTAGAGCATTGTCAATCAATCTCGTGCCGTACAGTACAGAATGCGTTCAGATTCAAATTTACATAAATCTGCGATCGCTAGCTTGATGAAGACTAGTGTCTTAGTGTGACTTTGAAGTGCTGTACTGTATGTTTGCAAGTTTTCTCCCCAACAAACACAATGTCGACGAAACATTTTGCACCGTCAAAAGCACCTGCGGCAGCACCGAAAAGGCAGAGGAAGATGCTAACCATCGCACAAAAAGCTGGACTTCTGGACATGCTAAAGGAAGGTAGAAGTTACCGTATTGTTCAGACCTTAAGGCACACCAGATTATAAGGCGCACTAAGCAAAACAAAACAGTCAGATAAGTCAAACTTTACTCAACTCATTCTTCTTGCTTCCTCCACTTCCATACCATTGATTCATTAATGTTGAATTCTCTGACAGCTGCTCTGCTCCCATGTTCTGGACCTGAAAACAAGGTTTGATCTTTGGTTTCATTTTATAATACTGGACTTATTTTTCTACGAAGGTTTGATCGTTGAGAGTGTTTGAACAAGAGAGAAAAGTGTATAAATGTTTGTGCCTGTATAGTGTGTAGTGAGAGGTTTTACAGCTGGCTACTTCGCAGATTTCGCTTATCGCAGGTTATTTTTAGTAACTCCCGCGATAAACGAGGGACCACTGTATTTGCATATTCTGGGCTATTATGCTTTGTATATGTAAATTTAATTTATCTGACTACTTTTTAGATTGCAGTTGTTCTACTGTTCTTCTTGCCTTTTTACCGACTATTAATATAACAACATAACAGGCTGATTTCCTTCCCACATATGATGGTCATTGATATTGCCTTCTAATTTACATTTAAAATGGCTTCTTAAGTGTGTTTTTGTGTCAGTACGTTGTCAAGAAACCCACACAGGATTTCTACCAGGTCATCACTATTGTTTGTGGCACTCAAATGAGGTAGGAGAACTGTCACAGCATTGTAATTGCTGGTCAGTGACTCAGCTCATGTTTACCTACTGAAATGGGGTTTTGCAAAAGAGGACATGGAATTTTATATTTAAAAACATAATCAACAAAAGAACAAGCCCATTGCCTCTGCATTAAAGCAGGTAAGGTGCTTCAGTTACTGCCCTTAGGATACAGTCCAGATTGGAGTTCTTCTGCTACATACAATGCAGTTGTTACAAAGAAAATGAATGCTTGACCTTGTTTTGGGCCAATCCCAAAGCACATACTTGTGTATAAAGAGCTTTGAAAACATAACTTTGACTTCATGCAAACTATGAAGACTTTCCAGCTCATGTACAAGTCGAGATTTTTAGCACGTTGAAGACAAGGCTGCGAAAGAATGATGAAGATTATTTTACCTTTTCTTTCTCTGATGGTTACAAGTAGTCAGCTAACACTGGATGAGTGTGGAAAAGAGGCACGATGGCCACGGATCAATGACATCGCAGTGCGCTGCGGCACTTCAGCCATTGAGCTTGCAATTGAAATCTGCCCAGTTATCTACGCTGGCTACAATGAGACCCTCCTGATCCTTAACCACATGTTCGACCCAGTCTGTCGAGCCACCCTAGATCAATCTGTGACTCCACCAGTTGCTCGTTTTCACTTTCCACTAAATATGACCCACGGCTGTGGAAGCATATTCAGGATCACCAGCGCTCCTGGGACAGGTATATTCTCTGACTTTTCCAGCATTGAGACAATGAACATCCGTGGTGTGGTCCAGTCTTTTGAGCCCACATCAGGAAAAATTTCCTACAAAACTGAGTTGATGTACTACTATTCCTGTTCCTACCCCTTAGAATATATGATCAACTACACCCAGCTTAATGTGTCAGCCACCTCTATCATAGTCAAGGACAACAATGGCAGTTTCATCAGCACCTTGAGCATGAAGCTGTTTAGTGATGCCAACTACACCCAACCACTGGTAATCCCACAGTGGGGAATTGAACTGAGGACCGATGTGTATGTTGAGATCAAGGCCACCAACCTCACACGCCAGTATAATGTCCTGCTGGACCGAAGCTATGCCACCATTTCCCCTCTGCCATCCAACTCCAGCATCTTCAACTTGTTTGTCTCCTGCTCTAAGGATCAGTTCACAAACATGATTGAGAATGGAGACAGCCAAAGAGCTCGCTTTAAGTTCCCAGCCTTCCGCTTCATCGAACACGAGAAGGAGCCTGTGTCCACCTACTACATCCACTGCGTCATTCGTCTATGTGAAAGGAGCACCTGCAGCACATTCAAGCACTGTGCACAAAGAATGAAGAGGAGCACCCTTGATACTTCTGAAGTGGGCATAACCAAGGCTTACACCATCATCTCTCCAAAGATCATTACCAAAGCTGAGCATGTTGAGTCCAAAGAGCAGCCAATTGTTGTAGAAAAATATAATTCTGATGTCGGGCTCGGTGTGGGTGTTGGTGTCCTTGCCTTTGCTTTCTTAATTGCTCTCATTATTGCAGCTGTGTTTTATAAAAGGTTCAGGAAACATTAAAAAAATAGTAGGGAAAACAGCAATCAAGTGTCAAATTCGAATATTTGTAAGATTTGTGAATGTGTGTGACGTCTTTTAAAGCAGTCAGAGAATCCTAAAAAAGCTTTTTGTCTTTCGCAAAGCAACTTGTCAACGTTCTGTCAAAGACTAACCATTACAGCATTGATGATACTGTTTTTTGAAAATGACTGTAAAAGCATTGACTTTGTAATCTTTATACTCTATTTATTTGTATTTACATTGATGTGTCAAAGCATAGGTCAAAGGCTCATGCTTTTTAGGACTTATTGTTCCTCGTGCATGTCTGTAGATAAAGTTATCAGTGTGCCTGTAGGACAGGGTTACGAGTCCAAGATGCATAAATACAAAAAAAGGTAACATGACAATATATCCTGTAAAATCCATGAACTTGTATATTAGCTTGAAAGAAATGTAGTTTGCACAATATCTAAAGGATGGAAGAGATAATATATGTAAAACATAATTAAAAAAAATTAAAAGCAAGAATACCAAATAAACTATATTGTTAATAAAGCTAATTGAGAAGAAGATATCCTGATGTAAGAGAGGCTTGAGAGCAAATTACACTAAACACAAAATGACAACAAAGAAATGTATTCATCAAACTAGAATCTTAGTATGTCAAACTCTAAGGTTTCTCTCCATATCTTTTCCTTTGTGAAAGTACTCACTGGTTTTTCAAACTGACGTCATGCCCCATAAGACCAGTGTATATGTCAGAGGAGGAAGCTGCCTACCTATGTGCAGTATATCTCTGACCCCACTGGGCTACAACTGCCCCATTGCTGTGTGATGTCGTCTGGAGACATAGGCTGATAAATGGAAAGAAGAGCCAGAGCTCCCTCGTGAGAGATTCTTGACATGTGACATCTTTAGTAACAACTCCCTGTTTCTCTTTTAGTGCTTTTGTGATGCTAGACGAATTGTTTCCTGCTTCAAATGAAAACAAAGAAAAATATGCCAAAAGTCATCACCATCAAATGATCACCTAAGAATTAAACGCAAAATGCTTTAGATTAGATGGAGGACCCGTAGTTAGGAGTAATTACATAACTTGAAGAAGGTTAAAAATTTAAATTAATTTCAAAGTACCTCCGTTATCTAATTATGATAAAACCTACTAAACTACCACATCACATCCTGGAAATATAAGACAGGCAAACAGAGAACATTAAATCTTCTTTGACTGGAAACACTGTTACTGTTTCAGCTGCTGTTGTGCTACACTGACTGAGTTGGCCATGAAGTGTGAAAGTTCACACTACAAATGAAATACATAAATCACAACTACAAAACAAATCCAGAAGTGAAAATAAGAATGAGAATAGGTAAATCTAAAATTTAATATCCATGTGGCAGGTTTTGGATCCATCCAGTTCTCAAGTAAGTTAAGTTTACTTCAAAAAATCTCCCTTCAGCATTTGGGTCCATAGCGACGTCACGCCACGCCATACCAGTTGTAAATGATGGGCTAGTCAGCACTATCTGTCAGTGAAATATAGACTGGATAAAAGTGAGGTGGAAAATTCAGAGTTTCAACAGAAACATTTGGCATTGTTGTACAGCCTTTACTGTAAGCCTACCCACATATGCGGGTCACTTTCACACACAGCACATGGAGCAAGTTATTCACGGGCTTCATACTAAACCCCAAACCTGATCAGATCATTATTTTTGCTGTAGCAACGGGCAAATCTGGAATTGAACCACTTCCCAGAGTCATGCAGGATTTGATCTATGGCAGTTTAGCACCAACAAGGTTTGGCAGGGAAATGATAAGAGCCAAAGACCAAGAGGAAGGAGGCCCATTTTTGATTGGTCTCCTGTGTATAGGTATTATATATTTTGAGATATATTCTCTAAGGCTTTATTCAAGGGAGTTTAGTTTACTGGGAAGTCAATTTATCTGCTCGACTGTCCCTGACTCCAGCTGGCATGTGCATGTATGCACATAGCAGATTGAATTTCATTTATGCACAGAGTGGAACTTAAGTTCAATCTCAGAGACAGAGATCCTCTGGAGGCAGAAAAGCTCACTGGCTGAGTTAAATTTCAAAGAGATTTTTCTTGTTGGCTTGCAGTATACTACAAAAGAAGAGAAAGGGACAAAATCAAAGTTGTTTGCTCATTCTGAAGATAAAAAATAGATACAAAATGAGGTGAACAGGTCTGCTAACTAAGAGTGATCTTTTTAGGGTTAAGAACAACAAGTCCTTAGATTTAGATTAGGTAAATAGTGTAAAAGTATTAAAACATTGTCCCAAAACTTGCAATGAGTTGGGTAGAAGGACAAATGTGAATTGTGCTGACATGTTAGCTTGCCAGAGGAGTCACTAACAGCCATGAAGTACTCTATTAATTCTCAGATGATATATACTTAATAAGCTCCTCTTATAGACTTCTCTCTCAGTGGTTACCACCTTGGCTGCATAACACAAATGGAGAGACCACAGAACAATTTTCATCTAGTAGATGAGCACTTATTTTCAGCAGCACCAGTGATGGTGGAAATCTAGCTAGCTAGCTAACAACAGATTGATTTTTAGGTACATAAAGCGACACTTTAGATGCTTTATCGCATTAGTTCATGCATCATTGTGCTGTTCAGTATTTGCAAATTGTCATTTCAGGCAAGTGCACAACCTGTTCTTTTCTGTGAGATACCACTCTGTTAAAATTCAAATGCTACATATGGATTTATGTAAGCTATGTCTTTACTATGTGAAAGGATATCAAATAAAAACAGAAATATTGAAATTGACTACCTACTGTTAGTGTTGCTCATGCCATTAGCAATAGCTCATAGTGTCCTTTTAAGCATGAATGACACTGTATCTGAAGAAGAACTACAGTTCCTCTTAGCTAGCTGGCTAGCCAAAAGGCTATTTAAAGGCTTTTGTCCAGATACAGGGCTGAAAGGTCTAAAAAGGGGGCTAAGGTCTGAAAATGTAACAGACTCAACATTAATCATATTGTATTATTATTGAAATCAATATGATACTTTCTGGTTCACACTCAGTAGCTAAATATTTATGTATAAATTAATGAATAAATGGTAGGTAGTTTGAATCGCAGAAAATCTGAGAAGAAATAAGCAACATACATAAAACAAAACAGCTGCAATATAAGCCTGAAAAGGAAAAAGAAACTGTCTGACTTCTTTGATATTTCATTACAGATACTTAATATTAGTGTTCCGTATCCTTGTGACGGCCTATTACGACCCGGCTGTGCTGATATGGTTACACCCAGTGGCCTTCAGCAGCGGTAGTGAGATGACGGCTGAGCTACAATATGCTAAACATATTATGTGAGTTTATGACTGAACAGCAGGAGGCAGGCAGGCGGGAATCAGGAAACAGGAGGAGGAAGGCCTGCTGTCCATAAACATTGGCGTGTTTGCATGTGTGGGAAAGTTTGTGAATGTATAAGAATGTTCCTGCAGAAAAAGAGAAAAAATAAACATTTTGAACCCCATAATTTTAATCATTTATTCTTTGGTAGGTTTATGCATTAAGGCCTGATTCTCACAGTAATAATAATAAGAGAAACAAGATCAAATAAATCTAGTTTTTATATCATATACTAAGAAAATGTTGTAATCCATGTTGACTGAGGTCTGTCTCCTTATCTTTTTGTTACCCTTCCTCACTGTGTGCAGATTGTGAAGATGGAAGGGGAAAATAAAAGCATGCAGTTTCAGATCCATAAATCTGTACTTCCCTGCAGAGAGAGATGAAACTGCCTCCTTAGGAGCTGGCATGGGCAGACAGTGGGAGCCTCATATCTCATATCAGCAGCACATGAACATCCTGCAGTTTGAGTTAGAGATGGACAACCTTACTGCTCTCTCAGTCGCTCTCTATGTTTATGTTTAACTTCCACTCTCCAAATTTACTCCCTTTTTCTCTGGCCTTTAGTCCAATAAAATGCCATACGAATGACAAATGATTTTATAAACATATTTTGTTTGTAAAACTAGTTTATCTTGCTCCGGGTCATATCAAACCCGGTCCAATGGGCACTGTAGCTCCTTAAATTCAGGACTGAGCTTGGAAAAACTCCCTTTCAGTTTTTATGCTCAGATCATCTGGAACTCTTATTCAATCTAAATTCATGACTACAAGCCATAATTTACAATATTAAACTACTTATGGGAATTACAATACAAACAAACATTGAAAATGGTCAGGGGAGATAGGATTAGAAATGAGTACATCAGAGGGAAAACTCACGTTGAGTAGTTTGGAGGTAAAACTATACAAGCATGGCTGAGATGGTTTGGACATGTGCAGAGGAGAGATTATTTATATATTGGGCAAAGTATGTTGAATATGAAGCTGCTAGTCAAAGGTGCCCTTTTACGTCAATTAAAAACTTAACATCACTGAAAATGAAGGCTAGTCTCCTGTGAATTTTTAAAAAGTTGATTACATTGAATTAAAATTTGTTAGTGTCTGTTAAAAATATCAAAGTCTATTTTTGCAAGGTCTGATTGCTAAACACTAGACAGCTTCACCAGACTAAAGGTCCTTGGTCATATGTGATTCAATGGAAATAATAATGTTATGAATATTGCAAATGCTGAGACCCTAAATGAGGCTGAATTATGACATTGTGTGGGCCAAACATCAGGACATTAGCAATGTAAACACATTGGCTGCTGTAGCACAATACCATTAACAGTTTTGTTACCACTTGTGATATCTGAAGAGTCCAGTATCCCATCAGAACAGCTTGTCATATGGTCAAATAATCAAACAGCAACCTCCTGGCCACTTAGACTGTGTTTAAGGGGAGGGCCCTTAGACACCCATGATAAAATGTCCAATTTGATACAAATAAAAGCATCGGTCATTCAGGCCTGTTGACACTGTAGTCAGTTTAACCTCCTCCAACTGTCTCACATCACCTGTTCTCATTTATCCATTCAGTCTCTGTAGTATATTCACTGAGCACTTTATTAAGATCACTTTTTATCTTCTGAACTGCCTTAATTTTTAGTGGCATAGATTCAACAAAGAGCTGGAAACATTCTTCAGAGATTTTGGTCTATAGTGATATGACAACAAATTTGTGAGCTGTAAATCCATGATGCAAATTTCTTGTTCCAAAACACCTACAACAGCAGCTTGCACAAACTGCAGCCTCAGTTTTCTGTTCTTAGCTGACAGGTGTGGCACCAGGTGTGGTCTTCTGCTGCTGCAGCCCATCTGCTTCAAGGTTGTGCATTCAGAGATGCTCTTCTGCATACCTTGGTTGTGGTTATTTGAGTTACTGTTGCCTTCCTATTAGCTCAAAGCAGTTTGGCCATTCTCCTCTGACCTCTGGGATCAACAAGGCATTTTCACTAATACAACTGGTGCTCACTGGATATTTTCTCTTTTTCAGATCATAAACATGGCTGTGTGGGAAAATCCCAGTAGACCTGGAAACACTCAGACCAG